CAGCTGCAGGAAATGCGAGTGAATGGGGAAGGTCTGCCTGACCCACTTCAGAACACACTGTGCGCGGCCCCCTCCCCGCAGCATCCCAGCTTCTCTCCGAGCACTTGACAGACAGAGCTCACTGAGCTGGATTTGAGCATCCTAAATTTAGCCGATGAGGTTAAATGGTTCCTGCTGGTTTTAATTCACATTCATGCTAAATTCATGCAGTTTCATTTTCCCCTTCTCTCTCTTTTCAGGGGAGAAGCAATGGCTTTCTTGGAGGTAGCTTACGATTTTTCCAGACAGAAATTGTTTCCATTCCAGGGTTATTGGCAGTACCCAAATATATGTCCAGGAATTGGTGAAAGCCAAGGAGCCTGATTTAGAGCTGCTGCTTCTAATGTCTAATAAAGCAGCACTGAAAAAGGTCAGCCACTGTGCAATGTAGCAGCCAGTCCCACCAGCTAATGGCATAATCTATTAAGGAATTAATTCCCTGTGTCTTCCCTTCCCAGTCAAATATAACAACAATGGGGAACATTAAGTGTCTAACGTAATATTGAGTTTCATATAGTGCTAGTAAACCTATTAGCTGAGGCTGTTATCCAAACTGCCGGAGTCTTGACCTTGGCCTGTGGGGCTTTTGCCATTCCTCTCGAGATCCGCCTCGGTGCTGCAAAGCAGCAGCAGCTTCATTTGAGCCGCAGCTCCGCTGCTCTCCTTGCGGGGTCTGTGCTTGCAGCACGGCCCTGGTGTCCCTACAGCGATGTTCTGCCCTCTCGCTGTAATTTGCTCTGAGGAGTGTTCATTGTTTCAAGGTCGCCCTGAGCCCTCTGACTTCTGAGTCTGTGTGGAGTAACAGCAATGTTTCCTTTTCTGTAAACACTTCCAGTTGCCATTTGTTCACCTTTAGCTCAACAGCTCCTGTTTCTTGTGCTTTTTAATGCCGTTCTTCATGCTCTCCTGCTGTTTTGCTCTGTATCCTTGATGCAGGGCGCAGCATCAGCTGCTCCATTAGCAGGAGCTTTTATTTTCTCCTGAGCTGCCCCAGCTGCTGGGCAGAGCCTTTGCCAGCAGCATTGCCCAAAGAAGGGGTGAGCTGGTGTGTGAGAGCATGGGGTTTTTCTCTCCATGCACGTATCAAGTACAGACAAATACTTAGAATCATAGAATTGTTTAGGTTGGAAAAGACCTTTAAGATCATCGAGTCCAACCGTTAACCCTAACCCTGCCATCCCACCACTAAACCACGTCCCTAAGCACCTTGTCTGCCCGGCTTTTAAATACTGCAAAGGATGGGGACTCCACCGCTTCCCTGGGCAGCCTGTGCTTGACAACCCTTTCATATTTATTTATATCACTTGGTATCAGCCTTTGATGTGATTCTCTCCTCAGCAGGTAAGCTTCCTTCTGTGGCAGGTTTCATGAATTATTTTGAGTAATCAGGGGCCAGGAGCATCTCTCTCCTTTGCTGTCCTGCAGCACGTGGAGTTTCTGTGGGTGGTCTTCTCCCAGCTTTGTGTCCCTGCTGCAGTAACGTGGCTGGACTTCACCCCGGAGAGGGACCTGGTTCTGGGTGTGCTGCAGGCTGTCGCAGTGCTAGGCTTCACTCGGTCCTGGGTTTCCCCTCTGCTCTCCCGGTCCCAGGCATCTTGTTAATGAGCCCAAGCATCTGTTCTGAGCATAGTAGTGAACATTTCCCTGAACGGCTGTGAGTTGCCTTGCCAGCTTTTTATTTACGTGCTTGTTCAGGTCACATACTCCCCGGGGTAGGAGTGAGACCCAAGCTCGGCCCATTTATCTTCCATGAGTTGAAAAGAATAAAGAAAACATTTACC